ACTAGGTGCAGTGTCAACAGTGCTTTTAAATGAGTATCTATGAGAATGTCTGACAGTATTTAATTTAACCAGCTGGTTTGCCAACACTCCACATGACATGATGGAGTTGGAAAACAGAATCTAATGAGACAAGGGGAAACAAAACTAAACAAAATGCACATGAGATAAGAGACTAGCAAAATAAAACAGGAAGTAACAAACATCCAAACAATGACACTAATATACAAACTAGTCACTAATGGGAACGCTAAGAAAAAACAAAAGAAAACCCTATATGATCTGACCTCTAAGCAAAATACTAACTGCTACCCATACACCACACTAAAGTCAAAGGTCAAGAGTATACAAAGAGGGGCATTAAATAAAGTCCGCAACTAAAGAAATTCCAAAAGCCAACGGGCAGGGTCCAAAAAACAGGATCATGACACAACATTCATATTTTAATATTGAGAGTTAACCATGACAGATACTACTCAAGTCTCTGTTCGCCTTACTGCAAAACTCACCGCATGCCACCGCTTCCTACCCACACCTTCCAAACCAAGGAAATGATAAAAGTCTGCTCGGTCACATGGTATTAAAGATGGGAGGTCAGCACAGTCGAGGGGAGCGGAGCAGAGCAGAGCAAGGGGGGAAGCAACAAGGGGGACCAAGTGAAAGCTGCTCTCCATCTGATCGAAAAGGACTTCTCTTGTCCTCCCTTTCTTTACACCTTCCTTAAAAACTGTAATAAGTCCGTTTGATACTAATATTTTAACACAGTTTATTAATTAGCACAAGGACAGTACCTCGATGAAAACATAATGCCTGCTGGTGCTCTTCTTTGTACATAAATACTTCCCTTCCTTTAAGTGTAAAAAAACATATTCTGAAACTGTCCATGAGCCACAAGCCGTACAACCGTAAACTCAAGTGAAAAACATCCCTCAGGTTTTCCATATTGAATCATCTACAATATAGAGATCACAGTGGAAAGGCAAAAAATATGTACTTTATTTCTTCTTGATTCAAACAAAATGTGTGATTAAAACAATATTTAACATTTAAGGCAACTTCACTCCTATGTAGTGATGCTAGCACCACAACAAAAGGGAGAGTGAGACATTTCATTCATGTGAGTAACGACTTACTCAGTGACTTCACTGCAGTTTTCACACTTGGCAAAGCAATCCAGTGGACCCATCATCTAAAGAGTCTAATAAACTCAGTAACAAAACTAAAATGCTTGATTTCATATAACAGCTGAGAATCAAATAATACAGCATAAAGTTAAAATATTCAACTTGTATAAACATTTAACTTCATCGATTGAGGGAAAAGGAATCTGACATATTTTAAAATTTATTTTATTTATTTATTTATTTTAATTTTTTTAAATTTATTTTTTCTGTTTGACTTAAAAACACTTTCCCCTACAACACTCTTTACAGCAAAAGAACTGTGTGTTTGTTTGTGTGTTTCTTATAGAGGAACAAACATGCAATAAAACTTGAAAGTGCAAGCGGAAAAGCAGAGACAACATGTTAAACGCCTTATACTCACTGGGTGTGACTATAGTTCAGAGCTATTACCATCATGAGATTAGCTGCGTTACTACAGGGAACAGTATTTGATCATATTTAGACAAACTGGGCTCCAAGTGAACGAGTGATTCTAAATGTCACAGTTTAAAATCATTTGAAGGAAGTTTTGAAAGCTGGTCACAACCTTTCCCATGACAGAGGAGCTTGAATTGGCTCGATTATGTGCTAGAAGAGAAGTTTCACTCCCTCGGCGGCGTCATTACTTCTGTCACAGCA